CCTGCCCCAATCTCCCGCTTTCCATCACCCCACCCATTCTCCCTCCTTCCATCACCCCGCCCCATTCTCCCGCTTTCCATCACCCCGCCCCATTCTCCGCTTTCCATCACCCAGCCCCATTCTCCCGCTTTCCATCACCCCGCCCCATTCTCCCGCTTCCATCACCCCGCCCCATTCTCCCGCTTCCATCACCCCGCCCCATTCTCCCTCCTTCCATCACCTCGCCTCATTCTCCCGCTTCCATCACCCCGCCCCATTCTCCCTCCTTCCATCACCCCGCCCCATTCTCCCTCCTTTCCATCACCCCGCCCCATTCTCCCACTTTCCATCACCCCGCCTTGTTCTCCCGCTTCCATAACCCCACCCCCTTCTCCCGCTTTCCATCACCCCGCCAATTCTCCCGCTTTCCATCACCCGCCCCATTCTCCCTCCTTCCATCACCCCGCCCCATTCTCCCGCTTTCCATCACCCCGCCCCATTTCCCGATTCCTCACCCCGCCCCTTTCCCGCTTTCCATCACCCCGCCCCATTCTCCCGCTTTCCATCACCCCGCCCCATTCTCCCGCTTTCCATCATCCCGCCCCATTCTCCCTCCTTCCATCACCCGCCCCATTCTCCCGCTTTCCATCACCCCGCCCACTCTCCTGCTTCCCATAACCCCACCCCATTCTCCCGCTTTCCATCACCCCACCCCCTTCTCCCGCTTTCCATCACCCCGCCACATTCTCCCGCTTTCTATCACCCCGCCCCATTCTCCTCCTTCATCACCCCGCCCCATTCTCCCGCTTTCCATCACCCCGCCCATTCTCCCGATTTCCATCACCCCGCCCCTTTCTCCCGCTTTCCATCACCCCGCCCCATTCTCCCGCTTTCCATCACCCCGCCCCATTCTCCCGCTTCCCATCATCCCGCCCCATTCCCCGCTTTCCACCAACCCTCCCCTTTCTTCCTCTTCCATCACCCGCCCCATTCTCTCGCTTTCTATCACCCCGCCCATTCTCCGCTTTCCATCACCCCGCCCTATTCTCCCGCTTTCCATCACCCCGCCCCATTCTTCCGCTTCCCATCATCCCGCCCATTCCCCCGCTTTCCATCACCCCTCCCCTTTCTTCCTCCTTCCATCACCCCGCCCCATTCTCTCGCTTTCCATCACCCCGCCCCATTCTCCCGCTTTCCATCACCCCGCCCATTCTCCCGCTTTCCATCACCCCGCCCCATTCTTCCCCCTTCCATCACCCCGCCTCATTCTCCCGCTTTCCATCACCCCGCCCCCATTCTCCCTCCTTCCATCACCCCGCCCCATTCTCCCTCATTCCATCACCCCGCTCCATTCTCCCGCTTTCCATCACCCCGCCCTATTCTCCCGCTTCCCATAACCCCACCCCATTCTCCCGCTTTCCATCACCCCGCCACATTTTCCCACCTTTCCATCACCCCGCCCCCTCTTTTCTCCTTCCATCACCACGCCCCATTCTCCCTCCTTCCATCACCCTGCCCCATTCTCCCGCTTTCCATCAGCCCGCCCCATTCTCCCGCTGTCCATCACCCCGCCCCTTTCTCCCGCTTTCCATCACCCTGCCCCATTCTCCCGCTTTCCATCACTCCGCCCCATTCTCCCGCTTTCCATCACCCCGACCCATTCTCCCACTTTCCATCACCCCGCCCCATTCTCCCTTCTTCCATCACCCCGCCTCATTCTCCCTCCTTCCATCACCCCGCCCCATTCTCCCGCTTTCCATCACCCCGCCCCATTCTCCCGCGTTCCATCACTTAGCCCCATTCTCCCGCTTTCCATCACCCTGCCCCATTTTTCCTCTTTCCATCACCCCGCCCCATTCTCCCACTTACCATCACCCTGCCCCAATCTCCTGCTTTCCATCACCCCGCCCCATTCTCCCTCCTTCCATCACCCCGCCCCATTCTCCCGCTTTCCATCACCCCGCCCCATTCTCCCGCTTTCCATCACCCAGCCCCATTCTCCCGCTTTCCATCACCCCGCCCCATTCTCCCGCTTTCCATCACCCCCGCCCCATTCTCCCGCTTTCCATCATCCCGCCCCATTCTCCCTTCTTCCATCACCCCGCCCCATTCTCCCGCTTTCCATCACCCCGCCCCACTCTCCTGCTTCCCATAACCCCACCCCATTCTCCCGCTTTCCATCACCCCACCACATTTTTCCCGTTTTCTATCACCCCGCCCCATTCTCCCTCCTTTCATCACCCCGCCCCATTCTCCCGCTTTCCATCACCCCGCCCCATTCTCCCGATTTCCGTCACCCTGCCCCATTCTCCCGCTTTCCATCACCCCGCCCCATTCTCCCGCTTTCCATCACCCCGCCCCATTTTCCCGCATTCCATCATCCCGCCCCATTCTCCCTCCTTCCATCACCCCGCCCCATTCTCCCGCTTTCCATCACCCCGCCCCATTCTCCCGATTTCCGTCACCCCGCCCCATTCTCCCGCTTTCCATCACCCCGCCCCATTCTCCCGCTTTCCATCACCCCGCCCCATTCTCCCGCATTCCATCATCCCGCCCCATTCTCCCTCCTTCCATCACCCCGCCCCATTCTCCCGCTTCCCATAACCCCACCCCATTCTCCCGCTTTCCATCACCCCGCCACATTCTCTCACTTCCCATCACCCCGCCCCCTTCTCTCTCCTTCCATCACCCCGCCCCATTCTCCCTCCTTCCATCACCCCGCCCCATTCTCCCGCATTTCATCAGCCCGCCCCATTCTCCCGCTCTCCATCACCCCTCCCCTTTCTCCCGCTTTCCATCTCCCCGCCCCATTCTCCCGCTTTCCATCACCCCGCCCCATTCTCCCGCTTTCCATCACCCCGCCCCATTCTTCCGCTTCCCATCATCTCGCCCCATTCCCCCGCTTTCCATCACCCCTCCCCATTCTCCCTCCTTCCATCACCCCGCCCCATTCTCCTCGCTTTCCATCACCCCGCCCCGTTCTCCCGCTTTCCATCACCCCGCCCCATTCTCCCGCTTTCCATCACCCCGCCCCATTCTCCCTCCTTCCATCACCCCGCCCCATTCTCCCGCTTTCTATCACCCAGCCCCATTCTCCCTCCTTCCATCACCCTGCCCCATTCTCCCTCATTCCATCACCCCGCTCCATTCTCCCGCTTTCCATCACCCCGCCCCATTCTCCCACTTCACATAACCCCGCCCCATTCTCCCGCTTTTCATCAGCCCGCCCCATTCTCCCGCTCTCCATCACCCCTCCCCTTTCTCCCGCTTTCCATCTCCCCGCCCCATTCTCCCGCTTTCCATCACCCCGCCCCATTCTCCCGCTTTCCATCACCCCGCCCCATTCTTCCGCTTCCCATCATCTCGCCCCATTCCCCCGCTTTCCATCACCCCTCCCCATTCTCCCTCCTTCCATCACCCCGCCCCATTCTCTTGCTTTCCATCACCCCGCCCCGTTCTCCCGCTTTCCATCACCCCGCCCCATTCTCCCGCTTTCCATCACCCCGCCCCATTCTCCCTCCTTCCATCACCCCGACCCATTCTCCCGCTTTCTATCACCCAGCCCCATTCTCCCTCCTTCCATCACCCTGCCCCATTCTCCCTCATTCCATCACCCCGCTCCATTCTCCCGCTTTCCATCACCCCGCCCCATTCTCCCACTTCACATTACCCCACCCCATTCTCCCGCTTTCCATCACCCCGCCACATTTTCCCACTTTCCATCATCCCGCCCCCTTCTCTCTCCTTCCATCACCCTGCCCCATTCTCCCTCCTTCCATCACCCCGCCCCACTCTTCCGCTTTCCATCACCCGCCCCATTCTCCCGCTTTCCATCACCTCGCCCCATTCTCCCGCTTTCCATCACCCCGCCCCATTCTTTTGCTTTCCATCACCCCGCCCCATTCTCCCGCTTTCCATCACCCTGCCCCATTCACCAGCTTTCCATCACCTGCCCCATTCTCCCGCTTTCCATCACCCCGCCCCATTCTCCCGCTTTCCATCACCCTGCTCCATCTCCCGCTTTCCATCACCCCGCCCCATTCTCCCGCTTTCCATCACCCCGCCCCATTCTCCCGCTTTCAATCACTCCGCCCCATTCTCCCGCTTTCCATCACCCCGCCCCATTCTCCCTCCTTCCATCACCTTGCCTCATTCTCATTCCTTCCATCACCCCGCCCCATTCTCCCGCTTTCCATCACCCTGCCCCATTCTCCCGCTTTCCATCACCCAGCCCCATTCTCCCGCTTTCCATCACCCCGCCCCATTCTCCCGCTTTCCATCACCCTGCCCCAATCTCCCGCTTTCCATCACCGCGCCCCATTCTCCCTCCTTCCATCACCCCGCCCCATTCTCCAGCTTTCCATCACCCCGCCCCATTCTCCTGCTTTCCATCACCCAGCCCCATTCTCCCGCTTTCGATCACCCCGCCCCATTCTCCCGCTTTCCATCACCCCACCCCATTCTCCCTCCTTCCATCACCCCGCCCCATTCTCCCTCCTTCCATCACCCCGCCCCATTCTCCCGCTTTCCATCACCCCGCCCCATTCTCCCGATTTCCGTCACCCCGCCTCATTCTCCCTCCTTCCATCACCCCGCCCCATTCTCCCGCTTTCCATCACCCCGCCCCATTCTCCCGCTTCCCATAACCCCACCCCATTCTCCCGCTTTCCATCACCCCGCCACATTCTCCCGCTTTCTATCACCCCGCCCCATTCTCCCTCCTTCCATCACCCCGCCCCATTCTCCCGCTTTCCATCACCCCGCCCCATTCTCCCGATTTCCATCACCCCGCCCCATTCTCCCGCTTTCCATCAGCCCGCCCCATTCTCCCACTTTCCATCACCCCGCCCCTTTCTCCCGCTTTCCATCTTCCCGCCCCATTCTCCCGCTTTCCATCATCCCGCCCCATTCTCCCTCCTTCCATCACCCCGCCCCATTCTTCCGCTTCCCATCATCCCTCCCCATTCCCCCGCTTTCCATCACCCCTCCCCATTCTCCCTCCTTCCATCACCCCGCCCCATTCTCTCGCTTTCTATCACCTCGCCCCATTCTCCCGCTTTCCATCACCCCGCCCCATTCTCCCGCTTTCCATCACTCTGCCCCATTATCCCTCCTTCCATCACCCCGCCCCCTTCTCCCTCCTTCCATCACCCCGCCCCATTCTCCCTCCTTCCATCACCCCACCCCATTCTCCCGCTTTCCATCACCCCGCCTCATTCTCCCGCTTCCCATAACCCCACCCCATTCTCCCGCTTTCCATCACCCCGCCACATTCTCCCACTTTCCATCACCCCGCCCCCTTCTCTCTCCTTCCATCACCCCGCCCCATTCTCCCTCCTTCCATCACCCCGCCCCATTCTCCCGCTTTCCATCAGCCCGCCCCATTCTCCCGCTTTCCATCACCCCGCCCCATTCTCCCGCTTTCCATCACCCCTCCCCTTTCTCCCGCTTACCATCTCCCCGCCCCATTCTCCCGCTTTCCATCACGCCGCCCCATTCTCCCGCTTTCCATCACCCCGCCCCATTCTCCCTCCTTCCATCACCCCGCCCCATTCTCCCGCTTTCCATCACCCCGCCCCATTCTCCCTCCTACCATCACCCCGCCCCATTCTCCCTCATTCCATCACCCCGCCCCCATTCTCCCTCCTTCCATCACCCCACCCCATTCTCCCTCCTTCCATCACCCCGCCCCATTCTCCCTCCTTCCATCACCCCGCCCCATTCTCCCGCTTTCCATCACCCCGCCCCATTCTCCCTCCTTCCATCACCTCGCCCCATTCTCCCTCCTTCCATCACCCCGCCCCATTCTCCCTCCTTCCATCACCCCGCCCCATTCTCCCGCTTTCCATCACCCCGCCCCATTTTCCCGCTTCCCATAACCCCACCCCATTCTCCCGCTTTCCATCACCCCGCCCCATTCTCCCGCTTTCCATCACTCCGCCCCATTCTCCCGCTTTCCATCACCCCGCCCCATTCTTCCGCTTCCCATCATCTCGCCCCATTCCCCCGCTTTCCATCACCCCTCCCCATTCTCCCTCCTTCCATCACCCCGCCCCATTCTCTCGCTTTCCATCACCCCGCCCTGTTCTCCCGCTTTCCATCACCCCGCCCCATTCTCCCGCTTTCCATCAACCCGCCCCATTCTCCCTCCTTCCATCACCCCGCCCCATTCTCCCGCTTTCTATCACCCAGCCCCATTCTCCCTCCTTCCATCACCCTGCCCCATTCTCCCTCATTCCATCACCCCGCTCCATTCTCCCGCTTTCCATCACCCCGCCCCATTCTCCCACTTCACATAACCCCGCCCCATTCTCCCGCTTTTCATCAGCCCGCCCCATTCTCCCGCTCTCCATCACCCCTCCCCTTTCTCCCGCTTTCCATCTCCCCGCCCCATTCTCCCGCTTTCCATCACCCCGCCCTATTCTCCCGCTTTCCATCACCCCGCCCCATTCTTCCGCTTCCCATCATCTCGCCCCATTCCCCCGCTTTCCATCACCCCTCCCCATTCTCCCTCCTTCCATCACCCCGCCCCATTCTCTTGCTTTCCATCACCCCGCCCCGTTCTCCCGCTTTCCATCACCCCGCCCCATTCTCCCGCTTTCCATCACCCCGCCCCATTCTCCCTCCTTCCATCACCCCGCCCCATTCTCCCGCTTTCTATCACCCAGCCCCATTCTCCCTCCTTCCATCACCCTGCCCCATACTCCCTCATTCCATCACCCCGCTCCATTCTCCCGCTTTCCATCACCCCGCCCCATTCTCCCACTTCACATAACCCCACCCCATTCTCCCGCTTTCCATCACCCCGCCACATTTTCCCACTTTCCATCATCCCGCCCCCTTCTCTCTCCTTCCATCACCCTGCCCCATTCTCCCTCCTTCCATCACCCCGCCCCACTCTTCCGCTTTCCATCACCCGCCCCATTCTCCCGCTTTCCATCACCTCGCCCCATTCTCCCGCTTTCCATCACCCCGCCCCATTCTTTTGCTTTCCATCACCCCGCCCCATTCTCCCGCTTTCCATCACCCTGCCCCATTCACCAGCTTTCCATCACCTGCCCCATTCTCCCGCTTTCCATCACCCCGCCCCATTCTCCCGCTTTCCATCACCCTGCTCCATTCTCCCGCTTTCCATCACCCCGCCCCATTCTCCCGCTTTCCATCACCCCGCCCCATTCTCCCGCTTTCAATCACTCCGCCCCATTCTCCCGCTTTCCATCACCCCGCCCCATTCTCCCTCCTTCCATCACCTTGCCTCATTCTCATTCCTTCCATCACCCCGCCCCATTCTCCCGCTTTCCATCACCCTGCCCCATTCTCCCGCTTTCCATCACCCAGCCCCATTCTCCCGCTTTCCATCACCCCGCCCCATTCTCCCGCTTTCCATCACCCTGCCCCAATCTCCCGCTTTCCATCACCGCGCCCCATTCTCCCTCCTTCCATCACCCCGCCCCATTCTCCCGCTTTCCATCACCCCCGCCCCATTCTCCTGCTTTCCATCACCCAGCCCCATTCTCCCGCTTTCGATCACCCCGCCCCATTCTCCCGCTTTCCATCACCCCACCCCATTCTCCCTCCTTCCATCACCCCGCCCCATTCTCCCTCCTTCCATCACCCCGCCCCATTCTCCCGCTTTCCATCACCCCGCCCCATTCTCCCGATTTCCGTCACCCCGCCTCATTCTCCCTCCTTCCATCACCCCGCCCCATTCTCCCGCTTTCCATCACCCCGCCCCATTCTCCCGCTTCCCATAACCCCACCCCATTCTCCCGCTTTCCATCACCCCGCCACATTCTCCCGCTTTCTATCACCCCGCCCCATTCTCCCTCCTTCCATCACCCCGCCCCATTCTCCCGCTTTCCATCACCCCGCCCCATTCTCCCGATTTCCATCACCCCGCCCCATTCTCCCGCTTTCCATCAGCCCGCCCCATTCTCCCACTTTCCATCACCCTGCCCCTTTCTCCCGCTTTCCATCTCCCCGCCCCATTCTCCCGCTTTCCATCATCCCGCCCCATTCTCCCTCCTTCCATCACCCCGCCCCATTCTTCCGCTTCCCATCATCCCGCCCCATTCCCCCGCTTTCCATCACCCCTCCCCATTCTCCCTCCTTCCATCACCCCGCCCCATTCTCTCGCTTTCTATCACCTCGCCCCATTCTCCCGATTTCCATCACCCCGCCCCATTCTCCCGCTTTCCATCAGCCCGCCCCATTCTCCCACTTTCCATCACCCCGCCCCTTTCTCCCGCTTTCCATCTCCCCGCCCCATTCTCCCGCTTTCCATCATCCCGCCCCATTCTCCCTCCTTCCATCACCCCGCCCCATTCTTCCGCTTCCCATCATCCCGCCCCATTCCCCCGCTTTCCATCACCCCTCCCCATTCTCCCTCCTTCCATCACCCCGCCCCATTCTCTCGCTTTCTATCACCTCGCCCCATTCTCCCGCTTTCCATCACCCCGCCCCATTCTCCCGCTTTCCATCACTCTGCCCCATTATCCCTCCTTCCATCACCCCGCCCCATTCTCCCTCCTTCCATCACCCCGCCCCATTCTCCCTCCTTCCATCACCCCACCCCATTCTCCCGCTTTCCATCACCCCGCCTCATTCTCCCGCTTCCCATAACCCCACCCCATTCTCCCGCTTTCCATCACCCCGCCACATTCTCCCACTTTCCATCACCCCGCCCCCTTCTCTCTCCTTCCATCACCCCGCCCCATTCTCCCTCCTTCCATCACCCCGCCCCATTCTCCCGCTTTCCATCAGCCCGCCCCATTCTCCCGCTTTCCATCACCCCGCCCCATTCTCCCGCTTTCCATCACCCCTCCCCTTTCTCCCGCTTACCATCTCCCCGCCCCATTCTCCCGCTTTCCATCACGCCGCCCCATTCTCCCGCTTTCCATCACCCCGCCCCATTCTCCCTCCTTCCATCACCCCGCCCCATTCTCCCGCTTTCCATCACCCCGCCCCATTCTCCCTCCTACCATCACCCCGCCCCATTCTCCCTCATTCCATCACCCCGCCCCATTCTCCCGCTTTCCATCACCCCACCCCATTCTCCCTCCTTCCATCACCCCGCCCCATTCTCCCTCCTTCCATCACCCCGCCCCATTCTCCCGCTTTCCATCACCCCGCCCCATTCTCCCTCCTTCCATCACCCCGCCCCATTCTCCCTCCTTCCATCACCCCGCCCCATTCTCCCTCCTTCCATCACCCCGCCCCATTCTCCCGCTTTCCATCACCCCGCCCCATTTTCCCGCTTCCCATAACCCCACCCCATTCTCCCGCTTTCCATCACCCCGCCCCATTCTCCCGCTTTCCATCACTCCGCCCCATTCTCCCGCTTTCCATCACCCCGACCCATTCTCCCACTTTCCATCACCCCGCCCCATTCTCCCTCCTTCCATCACCCCGCCTCATTCTCCCTCCTTCCATCACCCCGCCCCATTCTCCCGCTTTCCATCACCCCGCCCCATTCTCCCGCTTTCCATCACCCAGCCCCATTCTCCCGCTTTCCATCACCCCGCCCCATTTTCCCGCTTTCCATCACCCCGCCCCATTCTCCCGGTTTCCATCACCCGGCCCCAATCTCCCGCTTTCCATCACCCCGCCCCATTCTCCCTCCTTCCATCACCCCGCCCCATTCTCCTGCTTTCCATCACCCCGCCCCATTCTCCCGCTTTCCATCACCCAACCCCATTCTCCCGCTTTCCATCACCCCGCCCCATTCTCCCGCTTTCCATCACCCCACCCCATTCTCCCTCCTTCCATCACCCTGCCCCATTCTCCCTCCTTCCATCACCCCGCCCCATTCTCCCGCTTTCCATCACCCCGCCCCATTCTCCCTCCTTCCATCACCCCGCCCCATTCTCCCTCCTTCCATCACCCCGCCCCATTATCCCTCCTTCCATCACCCCGCCCCATTCTCCCGCTTTCCATCACCCCGCCCCATTTTCCCGCTTCCCATAATCCCACCCCATTCTCCCGCTTTCCATCACCCCGTCAAATTCTCCCGCTTTCTATCACCCCGCCCCATTCTCCCGCTTTCAATCACCCCGCCCCATTCTCCCGATTTCAATCACCCCGCCCCATTCTCCCGATTTCCATCACCCCGCCCCATTCTCCCGCTTTCAATCACCGCGCCCCATTCTCCCGATTTCCATCACCCCGCCCCATTCTCTCGCTTTCCATCACCCCGCCCCATTCTCCCGCTTTCCATCACCCCGCCCCATTCTCCCGCTTTCCATCATCCCGCCCCATTCTCCCTCCTTCCATCACCCCGCCCTATTCTTCCGCTTCCCATCCTCCCGCCCCATTCTCCCGCTTTCCATCACCCCTCCCCATTCTCCCTCCTTCCATCAACCTGCCCCATTCTCTCGCTCTCCATCACCCTGCCCCATTCTCCCGCTTTCCATCACCCCGCCCCATTCTCCCGCTTTCCATCACCCCAGCCCATTCTTCCTCCTTCCATCACCCCGCCCCATTCTTCCGCTTTCCATCACCCCGCCCTATTCTCCCTCCTTCCATCACCCCACCCCATTCTCCCTCATTCCATCACCCCGCCCCATTCTCCCGCTTTCCATCACCCCGCCCCATTCTCCCTCCTTCCATCACCCCGCCCCATTCTCCCTCATTCCATCACCCCGCCCCATTCTTCCGCTTTCCATCATCCCGCCCCATTCTCCCTCCTTCTATCATCCCGCCCCATTCTCCCGCTTTCCATCACTCCGCCCCATTCTTCCTCCTTCCATCACCCCGGCCCATTCTCCCTCCTTCCATCACCCCGCACCATTCTCCCGCTTTCCATCACCCCGCCCCATTCTCCTGTTTTCCATCACCTCGTCCCATTCTCCCTCCTTCCATCACCCCGCCCCATTCTCCCTCCTTCCATCACCCCGCCCCATTCTCCCGCTTTCCATCAGGCGTCCCATTCTCCCGCTTCCCATAACCCCACCCCCTTCTCCCGCTTTCCATCACCCCGCCACATTCTCCCGCTTTCTATCACCCCGCCTAATTCTCCCTCCTTCCATGACCCCGCCCCATTCTCCCGCTTTCCATCACCCCGCCCCATTTTACCGCTTTCCATCATCCCGCCCCATTCTCCCTCCTTCCATCACCCCGCCTCATTCTCCCGCTTTTCATCACTCCGCCCCATTCTCCCTCCTTCCATCACCTTGCCCCATTCTCCCTCCTTCCATCACCCCGCCCCATTCTCCCGCTTTCCATCACCCCGCCCCATTCTCCCGCTTCCCATAACCCCACTCCATTCTCCCGCTTTCCATCACCCCGCCACATTTTCCCACTTTCCTTCACCCCGCCCCCTTCCCTCTCCTTCCATCACCCCGCCCCATTCTCCCTCCTTCCATCACCCCGCCCCATTCTCCTGCTTTCTATCAGCCCGCCCCATTCTCCCGCTTTCCATCACCCCGCCCCTTTCTCCCGCTTTCCATCTCCCCGCCCCATTCTCCCGCTTGCCATCACCCCGCTCCATTCTCCCGCTTTCCATCACCCCGCCCCATTCTTCCGCTTCCCATCATCCCGCCCCTTTTCCCCGCTTTCCATCACCCCTCCCCATTCTTCCTCCTTCCATCACCCCGCCCCATTCTCCCGCTTTCCATCACACCGCCTCAATCTTCTGCTTTCCATCACCCCGCCCCATTCTCCCGCTTTCCATCACCCTACCCCATTCACCCGCTTTCCATCACCTCGCCCCATTCTCCCGCTTTCCATCACCCCGCCTCAATCTTCTGCTTTCCATCACCCCGCCCCATTCTCCCGCTTTCCATCACCCTGCTACATTCACCCGCTTTCCATCACCCGCCCCATTCTCCCGCTTTCCATCACCCCGCCCCATTCTCCCGCTTTCCATCACCCCACCCCATTCTCCCGCTTTCCATCCCCCCGCCCCATTCTCCCGCTTTCCATCATCCCGCCCCATTCTCCCGCTTTCCATCACTCTGCCCCATTCTCCCGCTTTCCATCACCCCGACCCATTCTCCCACTTTCCATCACCCCGCCCCATTCTCCCTCCTTCCATCACCCCGCCTCATTCTCCCTCCTTCCATCACCCCGCCCCATTCTCCCGCTTTCCATCACCCCGCCCCATTCTCCCGCTTTTCATCACCCCGCCCCATTCTCCCGCTTTCCATCACCCCGCCCCATTCTCTCGCCTTCCATCACCCCGCCCCATTCTCCCGCTTTCCATCACCCCGCCCCATTCTCCCGCTTTCCATCACCACGCCCCCTTCTCCCTCCTTCCATCACCCCGCCCCATTCTCCCGCTTTCCATCACCCCGCCCCATTCTCCCGCTTTCCATCACCCCGCCCCATTCTCCCTCCTTCCATCACCCCGCCTCATTCTCCCGCTTTCCATCACCCCGCCCCATTCTCCCTCCTTCCATCACCCCGCCCCATTCTCCTGCTTTCCATCACCCCGCCGCATTCTCCCTCCTTCCATCACCCCGCCCCATTCTCCCGCTTTTTATCACCCCGCCCCATTCTCCCGCTTTCCATCACCCCGCCCCATTCTCCTGCTTTCCATCACCACACCCCCTTCTCCCTCCTTCAATCACCCCGCCCCATTCTCCCGCTTTCCATCACCCCGCCCCATTCTCCCGCTTTCCATCACCCTGCCCCATTCTCCCGCTTTCCATCACCCCGCCTCATTCTCCCGCTTTCCATCACCCCGCCCCATTCTCCGTCCTTCCATCACCCCGCCCCATTCTCCTGCTTTCCATCACCCCGCCCCATTCTCCCTCCTTCCATCACCCCGCCCCAGCCTCCCTCCTTCCATCACCCCGCCCCATTCTCCCGCTTTCCATCACCCCGCCCCATTCTCCCGCTTCCCATAACCCCACCTCATTCTCCCGCTTTCCATCACCCCGCCCCGTTCTCCCGATTTCCATCACCCCGCCCCATTCTCCCGCTTTCCATCACCCCGCCCCATTCTCCCGCTTTCCATCACCCCGCTTCATTCTCCCGCTTTCCATCATCCCGCCCCATTCTCCCTCCTTCCATCACCCCGCCCCATTCTCCCGCTTTCCATCACTCCGCCCCATTCTCCCTCCTTCCATCACCCCGCCCCATTCTCCCTCCTTCCATCACCCCACCCCATTCTCCCGCTTTCCATCACCCCGCCCCATTCTCCCCCTTTCCATCACCCCGCCCCCTTCTCTCTCCTTCCATCACCCCGCCCCATTCTCCCTCCTTCCATCACCCCGCCCCATTCTCCCGCTTTCCATCAGCCCGCCCCATTCTCCCGCTTTCCATCACCCCGCCCCATTCTTCCGCTTCCCATCATCCCGCCCCATTCCCCCGCTTTCCATCACCCCTCCCCATTCTCCCTCCTTCCATCACACCGCCCCATTCTCCCCCTTTCCATCACCTGCCCCATTCTCCCGCTTTCCATCAACCCGCCCCTTTCTCCCGCTTTCCATCATCCCGCCCCATTCTCCCTCCTTCCATCACCCTGCCCCATTCTCCCGCATTCCATCACTCCGCCCCATTCTCCCTCCTTCCATCACCCCGCCCCATTCTCCCTCCTTCCATCACCCCAACCCTTTCTCCCACTTTCCATCACCCCGCCCCCTTCTCTCTCCTTCCATCACCCCGCCCCATTCTCCCTCCTTCCATCACCCCGCCCCATTCTCCCGCTTTCCATCAGCCCGCCCCATTTTCCCGCTTTCCATCACCCCGCCCCATTCTTCCGCTTCCCATCATCCCATCCCATTCCCCCCCTTTCCATCACCCCTCCCCATTCTCCCTCCTTCCATCACCCCGCCCCATTCTCTTGCTTTCCATCACCCCGCCCCATTCTCCCGCTTTCCATCACCCCGCCCCATTCTCCCGCTTTCCATCACCCCACCCGATTCTCCCTCCTTCCATCACCCCTCCCCATTCTCCCTCCTTTCCATCACCCGCCACACTCTCCCGCTTTCCATCACCCCGCCCCATTCTTCTGCTTTCCATCACCCCGCCCCATTCTCCCGCTTTCCATCACCCTGCCCCATTCACCCGCTTTCCATCACCCGCCCCATTCTCCCGCTTTCCATCACCCTGCCCCATTCTCCCGCTTTCCATCACCCCGCCCCATTCTCCCGCTTTCCATCACCCCGTCCCATTCTCCCGCTTTCCATCACCCCGCCCAATTCTCCCGCTTTCCATCACTACGCCCCATTTTCCCGCTTTCCATCACCTCGCCCCATTCTCCCACTTTCCATCACCCTGCCCCAATCTCCCGCTTTCCATCACCCCACCCCATTCTCCCTCCTTCCATCACCCCGCCCCATTCTCCCACTTTCCATCACCCCGCCCCATTCTCCCGCTTTCCATCACCCAGCCCCATTCTCCCGCTTTCCATCACCTCGCCCGATTCTCCCGCTTTCCATCACCCCGCCCCATTCTCCCTCCTTCCATCACCCCGCACATTCTCCCGCTTTGTATCACCCCGCCCCATTCTCCCTCCTTCCATCACCCCGCCCCATTCTCCCTCCTTCCATCACCCCGCCCCATTCTCCCGCTTTCCATCACCCCGCCCCATTCTCCCGCTTCCCATAACCCCACCCCCTTCTCCCGCTTTCCATCACCCCGCCACATTCTCCCGCTTTCTATCACCCCGCCCCATTCTCCCTCCTTCCATCACCCCGCCCCATTCTCCCGCTTTTCATCACCCCGCCCCATTCTCCCGATTTCCATCACCCCGCCCCATTCTCCCGCTTTCCATCACCCCGCCCCATTCTCCCGCTTTCCATCACCCCACCCCATTCTCCCTCCTTCCATCACCCCGCCCCATTCTCCCACTTTCCATCACCCCGCCCCATTCTCCCGCTTTCCATCACCCAGCCCCATTCTCCCGCTTTCCATCACCTCGCCCGATTCTCCCGCTTTCCATCACCCCGCCCCATTCTCCCTCCTTCCATCACCCCGCCACATTCTCCCGCTTTGTATCACCCCGCCCCATTCTCCCTCCTTCCATCACCCCGCCCCATTCTCCCTCCTTCCATCACCCCGCCCCATTCTCCCGCTTTCCATCACCCCGCCCCATTCTCCCGCTTCCCATAACCCCACCCCCTTCTCCCGCTTTCCATCACCCCGCCACATTCTCCCGCTTTCTATCACCCCGCCCCATTCTCCCTCCTTCCATCACCCCGCCCCATTCTCCCGCTTTTCATCACCCCGCCCCATTCTCCCGATTTCCATCACCCCGCCCCATTCTCCCGCTTTCCATCACCCCGCCCCATTCTCCCGCTTTCCATCACCCCGCCCCATTCTCCCGCTTTCCATCATCCCGCCCCATTCTCCCTCTTTCCATCACCCCGCCCCATTCTCCTGCTTTCCATCACTCCGCCCCATTCTCCCTCCTTCCATCACCCCGCCCCATTCTCCCTCCTTCCATCACCCCGCCCCATTCTCCCGCTTTCCATCACCCCGCCCCATTCTCCCGCTTCCCATAACCCCACCCCATTCTCCCGCTTTCCATCACCCCGCCACATTCTCCCACTTTCCATCACCCCGCCCCCTTCTCTCTCCTTCCATCACCCTGCCCCATTCTCCCTCCTTCCATCACCCCGCCCCATTCTCCCGCTTTCCATCAGCCCGCCCCATTCTCCCGCTTTCCATCACCCCTCCCCTTTCTCCCACTTTCCATCTCCCCGCCCCATTCTCCCGCTTCCCATCACCCCGCCCCATTCTCCCGCTTTCCATCACCCCGCCCCATTCTTCCGCTTCCCATCATCCCGCCCCATTCCCCCGCTTTCCATCACCCCTCCCCATTCTCCCTCCTTCCATAACCCCGCCCCATTCTCTTGCTTTCCATCACCCCGCCCCATTCTCCCGCTTTCCATCACCCCGCCCCATTCTCCCGCTTTCCATCACCCCGCCCCATTCTTCCTCCTTCCATCACCCCGCCCCATTCTCCCGCTTTCCATCACCCCGTCCCATTCTCCCTCCTTCCATCACCCCGCCCCATTCTCCCTCATTCCATCACCCCGCCCCTTTCTCCCGCTTTCCATCACCCCGCCCCATTCTCCCGCTTCCCATAACCCCACCCTATTCTCTAGCTTTCTATCACCCCGCCACATTTTCCCACTTTCCATCACCCCGCCCCCTTCTCTCTCCTTCCATCACCCCGCCCCATTCTCCCTCCTTCCATCACCCCGCCCCATTCTCCCGCTTTCCATCAGCCCGCCCCATTCTCCCGCTGTCCATCACCCCGCCCCTTTCTCCCGCTTACCATCACCCCGCCCCATTCTCCCGCTTTCCATCACCCCGCCCTATTCTCCCGCTTTCCATCATCCCGCCCCATTCTCCCGCTTTCCATCAGCCCGCCCCATTCTCCCGCTTTCCATCACCCCGCCCCTTTCTCCTGCTTTCCATCACCCCGCCCAATTCTCCCTTTTTCCATCACCCTGCCCCATTCTCCCGCTTTCCATCACCCCGCCCCATTCTCCCACCTTCCATCACTCCGCCCCATTCTCCCGCTTTCCATCACCCCGACCCGTTCTCCCACTTTCCATCACCCCGCCCCATTCTCCCTCCTTCCATCACCCCGCCTCATTCCCCCTCCTTCCATCACCCCGCCCCATTCTCCCGCTTTCCATCACCCCGCCCCATTCTCCCGCTTTCCATCACTTAGCCCCATTCTCCCGCTTTCCATCATCCCGCCCCATTTTTCCACTTTCCATCACCCCGCCCCATTCTCCCGCTCTCCATCACCCTGCCCCAATCTCCCGCTTTCCATCACCCCGCCCCATTCTCCCTCCTTCCATCACCCCGCCCCATTCTCCCGCTTTCAATCACCCTGCCCCAATCTCTCTCTTTCCATCACCCTACCCCATTCTCCCTCCTTCCATCACCCCGCCCCATTCTCCCGCTTTCCATCACGCAGCCCCATTCTCCGGCTTTTTATCACCCTGCCCCATTCTCCCGCTTTCCATCACCCCGCCCCATTCTCCCGCTTTCCATCACCCCGCCCCATTCTCCCTCCTTCCATCACCCCGCCCCACTCTCCCGCTTTCCATCACCCCGCCCCATTCTCCCTCCTTCCATCACCCCGCCCCATTCTCCCTCCTTCCATCACCCCGCCCCATTCTCCCGCTTTCCATCACCCCACCCTGTTCTCCTGCTTCCCATAACCCCACCCCCTTCTCCTGCTTTCCATCACCCCGCCCCATTCTCCCGATTTCCATCACCCCGCCCCATTCTCCCTCCTTCCATCACCCCGCCCCATTCTCCCGCTATCCATCAGCCCGCCCCATTCTCCAGCTTTCCATCACCCCTCCCCTTTCTCCCGCTTCCCATCTCCCCGCCCCATTCTCCCGCTTTCCATCACCCCGCCCCATTCTCCCACTTTCCATCACCCCGCCCCATTCTTCCTCCTTCCATCACCCCGCCCCATTCTCCCGCTTTCCATCACCCCACCCCATTCTCCCTCCTTCCATCACCCCGCCCCATTCTCCCTCATTCTATCACCTCGCCCCATTCTCCCGCTTTCCATCACCCCGCCCAATTCTCCCGCTTCCCATAACGCCACCCCATTCTCCCGCTTTCCATCACCCCGCCACATTTTCCCACTTTCCATCACCCCGCCCCCTTCTTTCTCCTTCCATCACCCCGCCCCATTTCCCCTCCTTCCATCAACCCCCCCCATTTTCCCGCTTTCCATCAGCCCGCCCCGCGTGTGCAAAATAAAAAGAAGAAGGGCATAGCGTGTGCAAAATAGCAAGAACAAGGGCCTAGCATGTGCAAAATAAACAGAACAAGGGCCTAGCGTGTGTTAAATAAAAAGAAGAACAAGGGCCTAGCGTGTGCAAAATCGCAAGAACAAGGGTTTAGCGAGTGCAAAATTGCAAGAACAAGGGCCTAGCATGTGCAAAATAAAAAGAACAAGGGCATAGCGTGTGCAAAATAGCAAGAACAAGGGCATAGCGTGTGCAAAATTGCAAGAACAAGGGCCTAGCGAGTGCAAAATAGCAAGAGCAAGGGCCTAGCGTGTGCAAAAAATCAAGAGCAAGGGCCTAGAGTATGCAAAACAGAAAGAACAAGGGTCTAGCATGTGCAAACTTGCAAGAACAAGGGCCAAGCGTGTGCAAAATAAAGAAAACAAGGGCATAGCGTGTGCAAAATAGCAAGAACAAGGGCCTAGCGTGTGCAAAATAAAAAGAAAAAGGGCCTAGCGTGTGCAAGATATAAAGAACAAGGGCCTAGCTTGTGCAAAATTGCAATGACAAGGGCCTAGCGTGTGCAAAATTGCAAGAACAAGGGCCTAGCAAGTGCAAAATAGCAAGAGCAAGGGCCTAGCGTGTGCAAAAAATCAAGAACAAGGGCCTAGCGTTCGCGAAATAGCAAGAACAAGGGCCTAGCGTGTGCAAAATAAAAAGAACAAGGGTCTAGCATGTGCAAAATTGCAAGAACAAGGGCCTAGCGTGTGCAAAATAAAAAGAACTAGGGCATAGCTTGTGCAAAATAGCAAGAACAAGGGCCTAGTGTGTGCAAAATAAAAAGAAAAAGGGCCTAGCGTGTGCAAAATAAAAAGAACAAGGGCATAGCGTGTGCAAAATTGCAAAAACAAGGGCCTAGCGTGTGCAACATTGCAAGAACAAGGGCCTAGCGAGTGCAAAATAGCAAGAGCAAAGGCATAGCGTGTGCAAAATAAAAAGAACAAGGGCCTAGTGTGTGCAAAATTGCAAGAACAAGGACCTAGCGTGTGCAAAATTGCAAGAACAAGGCACTAGCGAGTGCAAAATAGCAAGAGCAAGGGCCAAGCGTGTGCAAAAAATCAAGAACAAGGGCCTAGCGTGTGCAAAATAAAAAGAACAAGGGCCTAGCGTGTGCAAAAAAAAAAGAACAAGGGCCTAGTGTGTGCAAAATTGCAAGAACAAGGGCCTAGCGAGTGCAAAATAGCAGGACTAAGGACCTAGCATGTGCAAAAAGTCAAGAACAAGGGCCAAGCGAGTGCAAAATAGCAAGAGCAAGGGCCTAGCGTGTGCAAAATAAAAAGAACAAGGGTCTAGCATGTGCAAAATTGCAAAAACAAGGGCCTAGCGTGTGCAAAATAAAAAGAACAAGGGCCTAGCATGTGCAAAATTGCAAGAACAAGGGCCTAGTGTGTGCAAAATTGCAACAACAAGGGCCTAGCGTGTGCAAAATTGCAAGAACAAGGGCCTAGCAAGTGCAAAATAGCAAGAGCAAGGGCCTAGCGTGTGCAAAAAATCAAGAACAAGGGCCTAGCGTGTGCAAAATAAAAAGAACAACGGCCTTGCGTGTGCAAAATAAAAAGAACAAGGGCCTAGTGTGTGCAAAATTGCAAGAACAAGGGCCTAGCGAGTGCAAAATAGCAAGAGCAAGGGCCTAGCATGTGCAAAATAAAAAGAACAAGGGTCTAGCATGTGCAAAATTGCAAGAACAAGGGCCTAGCGTGTGCAAAATAAAAAGAACAAGGGCCTAGCGAGTGCAAAATAGCAAGAGCAAGGGCCTAGCGTGTGCAAAATAAAAAGAACAAGGGTCTAGCATGTGCAAAATTGCAAGAACAAGGGCCTAGCGTGTGCAAAATAAAAAGAACAAGGGCCTAGCGTGTGCAAAATTGCAAAAACAAGGGCCTAGCGTGGGCAAAATTGCAAGAACAAGGGCCTAGCGAGTGCAAAATAGCAAGAGCAAGGGCCTAGCGTGTGCAAAATAAAAAGAACAAGGGCCTAGTGTGTGCAAAATTGCAAGAACAAGGACCTAGCGTGTGCAAAATTGCAAGAACAAGGCACTAGCAAGTGCAAAATAGAAAGAGCAAGGGCCAAGCGTGTGCAAAAAATCAAGAACAAGGGCCTAGCGTGTGCAAAATAAGAAGAACAAGGGTCTAGCGTGTGCAGAATTGCAAGAACAAGGGCCTAGCGTGTGCAAAATAAAAAGAACAATGGCATAGCGTGTGCAAAATAGCAAGAACAAGGGCCTAGCGTGTTAAAAATGAAAATAACAAGGGCCTAGCGTGTGCAAAATAAAAAGAACAAGGGCCTAGCGTGTGCAAAATTGCAAGAACAAGGGCCTAGCGTGTGCAAAATTGCAAGAACAAGGGCCTAGCGAGTGCAAAATAGCAAGAGCAAAGGCCTAGCGTGTGCAAAAAATCAAGCACGAGGGCCTAGTGTTAGCGAAATAGCAAGAACAAGGGCCTAGCGTGTGCAAAATAAAAAGAACAAGGGCATAGCGTGTGCAAAATAGCAAGAACAAGGGGCTAGCGTGTGCAAAATAAAAAGAACAAGGGCCTAGCGTGTGCAAAATAAAAAGAACAAGGGCCTAGCGTGTGCAAAATTGAAAGAACAAGGGCCTAGCGTGTGTAAAATTGCAAGAACAAGGGCCTAGCGAGTGCAAAATAGCAAGAGCAAGGGCCTAAAATGTGCAAAAAATCAAGAACAAGGGCCTAGCGTTCGTGAAATAGCAAGAGCAAGGGCCTAGTGTGTGCAAAATAAAAAAAAAAAGGGTCTAGCATGTGCAAAATTGCAAGAACAAGGGCCTAGCGTGTGCAAAATAAAAAGAACTAGGGCATAGCGTGTGCAAAATAGCAAGAACAAGGGCCTAGTGTGTGCAAAATAAAAAGAACCAGGGCCTAGCGTGTGCAAAATAAAAAGAACAAGGGCCTAGCGTGTGCAAAATTGCAAAAACAAGGGCCTAGCGTGTGCAAAATTGCAAGAACAAGGGCCTAGCGAGTGCAAAATAGCAAGAGCAAGGGCCTAGTGTGTGCAAAATAAAAAGAACAAGGGCCTAGCGTGTGCGAAATCGCAAGAACAAGGACCTAGCGTGTGCAAAATTGCAAGAACAAGGCACTAGCGAGTGCAAAATAGCAAGAGCAAGGGCGAAGCGTGTGCAAAAAATCAAGAACAAGGGCCTAGCGTGTGCAAAATAAAAAGAACAAGGGCCTAGCGTGTGCAAAAAAAAAAGAACAAGGGCCTAGTGTGTGCAAAATTGCAAGAACAAGGGCCTAGCGAGTGCAAAATAGCAGGACCAAGGACCTAGCATGTGCAAAAAATCAAGAACAAGGGCCTAGCGAGTGCAAAATAGCAAGAGCAAGGGCCTAGCGTGTGCAAAATAAAAAGAACAAGGGTCTAGCATGTGCAAAATTGCAAAAACAAGGGCCTAGCGTGTGCAAAATAAAAAGAACAAGGGCCTAGCATGTGCAAAATTGCAAGAACAAGGGCCTAGTGTGTGCAAAATTGCAAGAACAAGGGCCTAGCGTGTGCAAAATTGCAAGAACAAGGGCCTAGCAAGTGCAAAATAGCAAGAGCAAGGGCCTAGCGTGTGCAAACAATCAAGAACAAGGGCCTAGCGTGTGCAAAATAAAAAGAACAACGGCCTAGCGTGTGCAAAATAAAAAGAACAAGGGCCTAGTGTGTGCAAAATTGCAAGAACAAGGGCCTAGCGAGTGCAAAATAGCAAGAGCAAGGGCCTAGCATGTGCAAAAAATCAAGAACAAGGGCCTAGCGAGTGCAAAATAGCAAGAGCAAGGGCCTAGCGTGTGCAAAATAAAGAGAACAAGGGTCTAGCATGTGCAAAATTGCAAGAACAAGGGCCTAGCGTGTGCAAAATAAAAAGAACAAGGGCCTAGCGTGTGCAAAATAAGAAGAACAAGGGTCTAGCGTGTGCAGAATTGCAAGA